GGTGTGTACAGGCCAAGCTCCTCTCCAGCCTGGTACCCAAAGCTCAGCCTGCACAGGCACCCACCTCATCATCAGGTGGGTCCATGGTTCTCATCATCCCCCGTGGCATGTGTGGGGGACTGACAGGAGGAGAATGGGTTCCTGTCTTAGCACCATCAACATACATGATCCATACCATATCCTGGACCCCCTTCTGGACTAGAAGCAGGTACACATTGGGGCAGGGACAGTGTGGTTCCTCTGATGAAATTGCATCGAAGAATAATCTTTGACCACCATCTGGGATTTTTTCATGCTTGTTTCCCCCTTTCATTGTGAAGTTCATGGAATCATGTCAAGGGGTTGGAATGGACTTTAGAGATGATCCAGCCCCAAGCCCTGCCCTGGGCAGGGACACCTCCCAGCAGAGCAGGTTGCTCAAGGCTCATCCAACCTGGCTGTGAACACTGCCAGGGTTGGGGCAGCCACAGCCTCCCTGGGCACCCTGGGACAGGGTCTCACCACCACAACAGGGAAAAACTTCTCCCTAATATCTAGCCTAAACTTCCCCCCTTGCAATTTGTACCCATAGTTACCCTAATTAACATTTTCAGGTGGTTTTGCTTCCAGGTAGATAGAGAAAGAGGAAAGAGACTTTCTTTTAGCCAAAGGATGGTACAAAAAAACCCCACTGAGGTATGTATAAAGCAAGGAAAGTCAGTGAAATCTCCTAGGTCAGTACTTCTCCCTTGTTCATCCTGATGCATCCAGACAGCCCATGTGAGTATTATTACCCCAGGCTGGTCCTCATGACTGAGTGAGGTAGAAAGTGCTGGGCTGGCAAATTGAAGTTTTACATCTCATCTTTCATTTCTAACTCATGTGTTTGGTTTTCTCCTTTTCAAATACAATTATTTTGAAGAATAGTTTCTGGTGTAAAAAGAAAACAAATACTTCATTTTTTCCTCTAAGTGATTTTAATGATGAATTACTTGGCTTCAGGAAGCAGCTTAAAGCTGCTGTGGGTTCCTTTGAAGAAAAGTGTCATAGAATCATAGAACCATCAAGGCTGGAGGAGACCTCTAAGATCATCAAATCCAACCATTAACCTGTCACTGCTGGAACCCCCAAACCATAAACCAGATCCTCCAGTGCCAGATCCAGGAGCCTCTTAAACACTTCCAGGGATGGTGACTCCACCACTGCCCTGGGCAATATCCCAGTGCCTCAACACCCTTTCTGTGAAGAAATTTTCCCTAATATCCAATGTGACCCTCCCCAGGCACAACTTGAGGCCCCTCATCCTGTCCCTTGCTCCCTGGGAGCAGAGCCTGACCCCACTTGGCTGCACCTCCTGGCAGGGAGTTGTAGAGAGCAGAAGGTTCCTTGAGCCTCCTCTTCTCCATACTGAGCCCCTACAACTCCCTCAGCTGTTCCTTGTGCTCCAGCCCCTTCCCCAGCTCCAGTGCCCTTCTCTGGACACTCTCCAGCCCCTCAATGCCTTTGGATATTGTTTAATTATTGTAACTTTAGAGGAAAAACAATTAAAGGCTAAAATGGGAGTAAGATAATCCAAATTAGCCATTAGATTACCTAGTAGAATTGCTGCTATCATCTATAATGAATTCCTTCCTGGCCAGTTTAATACATTGAAGGATGCTCAAGATAAAGAATAGTCTCTTCAGAAAAAATGGTGACTCTTAGGGAAGCATCTCTGTAACATCAGCCCTTCTCTAGGAAGCTGTGAGTGTTGGGAGAGTTGAGAAGGACCATTAACAACTTACCTGAGCCCATCTGTGGCAGCTTTATGAAGAAAAGCAAAACGCTTCACATGAGGTTCACATGTCTCTAGAAATGAGTTCACAAGAGGGAAAGCATCAAGGGAAATGCTGACAGATATTTAATTATCATGGCAGTCGTGGCTGTTGCTGTGTTAATAGCATCTGGCAGCAGAGGCAGTGCCATCTGTTAGTGCCCTGAAATCCTGTGTACAGTGTCTCCTTTATGGAGGAATTAGCAATAATTAACAAATCTATCAAGTGAAATCACCTTGATTGGGTGACAGCTTTACCTTGATAATGATGAATTGCAGAATAACAGGGAGTAAAATGTCCACCAGTCCCTTTTTTTTGCCATGGACTGGCTGATCCAAGCACAGCATCCTTAGGGTTTCCTTTCCAGCCTGTGGTGTGAGGCAGCAGCTCCTGCATTTACTTGGAATAATCCTTACAAGCAGAGCTAGATTAAAAACCAACTTCTGCATACTCCTTTTGATTTGCAGCAGATTAGGACTCTAAACCCAGTTGTGCTTCTGTTGATGCATGATAATGTTGATCCATGAGGTTGCACTGCAAGAAGTGACCCTGCAACCAAAGTCAGCTCAGCCTGGCAGAACAACCTGACTGCATTAAAGCATTTCAGGGAGTTGGGTTTTTTGTTGTGTTGTGTTTTGGTTTTTTTTTTTTTTTTTTGGTTTTTTTTTTTTTTTTTTTTTTTTTTTTTTTTTTTTTTTTTTTTTTTTTGTTAGCTTGATATTAACAGCCAAACCATTACTTTCTGATGAGTCAGTTTGTCTTCAAAGTGGTAAAGAAAAAATATTCTCTTTCTTTGTGTTTGGAGGAATTATTTCTGAGTGTCTATTTTTGTCCAAGCCAATACTTCGATCGCTGCAAGGAAACTGCACTGCCATAAATAATGGCTATAAACAAACCAAGGAGCCAATTCCAGACCTGCTTGGGGTTTA